CTTGTTTTTATAAAAATCGTAAAAAAAAAAAAAATATCTTTTTCATTGTATTCGTTTGAAAGTTTTTACGAGTAAAACGAGTTTTTCGTTTGAAAGTTTTTACGAGTAAAACAACTTTATCGTTCGAAAGTTTTTACGAGTAAAACGACTTATCGTTCGAAAGTTTTAACGAGTAAAACGACTTTATTGTTTGAAAGTTTTTACGAGTAAAACAATTTTATCGTTCGAAAGTTTTTACGAGTAAAATGATAGCATCAATAATAGCTTAAAAAAAAACAAAGAAACAAAAAAAAAAATTATTTTTTTTTTGGCTACGCGTGGTTGTTCTGTTCTTGTGTGCAGGTATATTGAACAGAAGAATCAATGAACCCGAGCAATATGTTCCCCTCCTCGCAGAACTTTTATTGGAATAATGGGCCGAGCTACGGTTCGTGGGAGTATGGCCAAGCATGTGCCTATTCTTACGAGCAATCGTGGTATCTATTACCGTTCGAGCAATCATATGAGTCCCCCGTAGACTCCTCTGATGATGACGCTAATCTCGATAGGATTCTCGATTTTATGGCCTCCCAAGCAGCCCGGACGAAAATTTTTGAGGCCGAAGTCGAGAACCTAGCGGAACGCATTCAAGTCTTGGAGGATCGAGCTAATAATTTTTTTCCCGATTCCCTCATGCAAAATAAACTTCGGGGGAACACTTTGACTGATGATGAAAAGTTCGATCTCATTCTTGCTCGTATGACGGCCCAAACATCTCGACTAGAGAAAATGGAGCTTGAATGCACTCGGTTGGTGGCGAAGCTTGACGACATAGAACGCGCTCAGTCCGTCAAGATTGAATGCAGAATCTACGTGGACGATACTGAAGATGAGGAGGATGCACTCCCGAAGATTGAGGATGATATAGTGAAAGAGGAAACTCATGTTCCCGAATTCGAAAGTCCCTCACTCGAGTCATCTCTCCTCACAGTCGAGAAGGCTCCATTTAGCTCAACATGTTCCACGGACATTCTCGTGCTTCGGGAGGATGACTGTGGAATTTTGTCGAGAAGAGCGATGGGTCGTTTCGTTACCATCCGTGATGCGTACGCTCGGTTCCACAAGAACATTGCCACTCGAGCCTACCATATTCTTGGTCATGTCACCCTTCCCATGCTGCCGCTTCTCGAGAATACGAAAGCATGGCATGATCGACACTTCTTTTTAGACCCAGGTTGATTTGTACAGGTTTCGTCAAGCTAATGACGTTAAACAAGCGCTTCTTGGGAGGCAACCCAAGCAATTTACTGCTTTCGTGTGTGTTTCATTTATGTTTTTATTTTATTTTATTTTATTTTTGAAAAATGGGAGTTTGTGGAGATTGGTTTTCTTGGCAGGATATATATGGAGGATCGGTTGATCGGGGGCGGAAGGCCGGAACGTGAATGCTTATTTCCATCGAGGCTACTTCGGTTTGCACACTCTTTTCTTTTTCTTGTTTGAATTCCCAATTTTATTTTTATTTTTATTTATGTGTCGATGCAATGAGGACATTGCATTATTTTAAGTGTGGGGGAGTCGGCAACTCCGCCGTGGATTTTGCATGTTTATGTGGTAGGTTGTCGTGTTTTCGAGCATTTGGTATCGATGAATTATATGATTTGTCGATAAATGTTTGATGAAATTGAGAAGTTGTGATGACGGACGTATTTATCATTGCCTCGATATTTACTTGATTGCTTTAATTGACATTTATTTACCTTGTGAGGTTTTGATCCTTACTTTTCTTTTTTGAGAGATATTGGTTGTATTCTCGAATGATTAGAACTCGCCTTGAGTCTATTTGAAAAGAATTGGTCTAAGTTTGAAATTACGAAAATGATTGAGACGTTTTGTTGTTAGCTCGTTTTGCCTTGTTCTTGATCCTAAAAATACATTTTCCGCTAGTAGCCCGTTTGAACTTGAAGCCTTTTCTTGTAAGCCATATATATATATATATCTGATTGTTGACAGGTCTTGAGTTTCGATTGGTGAAGTGGCGATATTTTTGAACGAGGTAAAAATTGAGTTGCATTTTATTGCTTGACCAATATAAAAAAAATAATAAAAAAATACAAAAAAAAAATATATAAAAATAAAAAAATAAAATACATGAGAGCTCGCAAGACGAATCGATTGGATTCTACTCCGCTTACATGTTATTCATTTTAACGAGTAATGAGTATTGGGAAACTACCTTAGGACACTTGGATGACCTCAAATGTTTAAACCTAAGGAATATTGTCCTTGCGATTCGAGCTTGTTCGAAAATAGTAACTCTCTAAATAATAAAAAAAATAAATGTATAATAAGTCGAGCAATATTGCAATTCGATTGGAGCATTTA